GTAGAAGGTTGTGGTGGGTATGGCTTCTTTCATACTATAAGCAGAGAATGACTTTACATGTTTGTTTCTGTTCATCAGATCAATGCCTGTTTTCTTCTATTACAGCCTGGACTTGTTAACATCTCTCCCACTGAGTCCATCAATTTATGATAATGACGTCTACCAATAACAATCTGTGTGTGAGTTTTGATGAAAGATGAGAAACAAAATATACTCTTGCAGTGAATTTTTAAAGATAAATGATTCGTTTGTATATGTACAACTGAACAGATATGTAACGCCTTAGTGAATACTAACATCTATGTAATTTTCAACCAGAGTGTAGTATTCCAAATCTAACAACATGCTAAACTCTGCACAGAAACCAATATCATAGAAGTTGTATTTGAAACTTCAAAACACAGAACTCTATGCAAATATTTACTTTAATACCATCTGCAGCACTGTTTAAGTTGATATACATACCTTCAGGGGCATTGGCACTGCAATCTGCAGAATGAAAAATTGTTGAATTTCCGCTATTGACTTCTAGACTGTTGTTGCTCTGTAATAACAAAAGCATACAAATCACCAGTAAATTAATCTTCAAACAATAGAAAGTACAGAAATAAGCATATACTTAATATTTATACCATGAATTAAATACTTCAAAGGTCAGTTCATCCAAAAAGCTATATTTTAGTTACATGGGGGTAAAGAGGTGGAGACTGGTAGGGCGAGTCACCTAGTAGCTATTCTTCACTAAATAAAATAAAAATATATAAAATTTGCCACCATAGTTCCCGAATGTGTTTCCACCCACCCTACTGCCAATCACGGAGAGCTCCAATACTTCATATTATATTATTTAGGATATTAAACAATAGGAAAATCCAAAAGAAAGAGGTCCCCCTTGTGGCTGTTGCAGCAGGTATGCAAGCTTCAGAACTCAAAAAGTAGAAATCTCACTAATGGTATCTTCAAGAGAAGAGAAGAAGAAGTTAGGTGGTTTAACGTGCCACGATCTAGCAAACACTGAAATATTACTTTTATTTCAAAGATAGCCCATGCAAACACTTGTGTTTTACCATGATTTACTGTATTGCCCACATATATGTGTAGTTTATGTTCCTTGAGAACAGAAGCAGTATTTGCCTGGCAGATCATAAAAGCACTGTTTAGAAAAAGGAATGGAGTATGCAAGTCAGTCCTCTCACTTACAGGTGTGCATATGGTTGTTTATTTGTATCATGTATATATGTAAGTTAATCCATACACACTAATGTTAAATTTGGCTAGCAATCAATCACCACAAAAGGGCTAAACAGTTATCCTAAAGATATGTTAAAGCCACTGGGGAGATTTGCCCTCCAGCATCCCCACATCAATTAAATGTGGTGAGAATACAGTAAATCCTCCAGTGACTACACATGCTAAATTTTACACATAATTTTGGGCGGATTTATTTTGGTTACTTAACTGCATAGCAAATTCTGAATATTCCTAAAATGATACATTTTAAAATTAAAAAGATTCTATTATTCCAGGTCTGTAATATAATTTACCAATATTTGATCCAAATAGTAATAGCCTCAAAAAGCCATACAAATTAACCAGAAGCATTGATCTGAGAAGAAGGCTGGTCAACAGATGGCCACAAATTAATTAATGTTACTACTAATAAAGCATGCTGAGGGCACAAGCACAGGGTATGTGTTCATCATAGCAATAATTGCTCATTACTGCATGGAGGTGTCAATACAGATTGCCAGTTTGCTAAACTATGCATCTTAGATCCAATATGTTGTACTCAAGTTGATTGTCAGAAAAGTGTCACTGTATGTTGCCCTCTGTATACATCACAAGAAGAAAATCTCTGTAAAGACATCCAAAGCTTTGTAATATTCATGTGGTGAACCCATGAATTCAGTTGTACACTTGGTTAACTTTACCCTGGATCTATAATCACAGATCGGGTTTATAATACTTGCAACTCTTATGTGAACAAGTGATTTCTACAGTGACATATACTGTACACAGTACATTCTGCAGTAAGGTTGCACTGAACCTGTGTCTACCGCAGGCTAAGTGCACTCAGCTTTAGAAGTTACATTTCCAGATACAACATCCAGAATGCTATACTCCACAGAAGAATACACAGGATCATAGCTAAAGTGTATGCAAGCCCTAATAAATAACTTTTATTGAGTCCCATTTGATCTATTAAAGTATAAAAAAAATTCCCATGTTGTTCAGGCAGCTAGACGCTGGACAAATCTTCACTGCAGGGATGCCTATCCTCTTACCGTCTCTGAATGTTTGACATTGCAATGGTTATTAGCTTTGGGTTTTCAGGCAGAAGAGCAGTACAGATGGTCCAATGGAGACTCCTTCCTCCTCCTCCTTTGAGAACAATTCTTTCACTGATTAGACTGCCTGTAACAGGATTTGTGAATGAAAAAGAGTTTGACCAGATCAGTTACAAGTATCTCTCCCCAATTCGCTGATCAAGTGACAGGCAGCATAATCACTGAAAAAAACTTCTCAATGGGGGAGAGGACAGAAGGAGTTTGATCACAAGAGAAAAAGAGATCAAGTAAAAAATGCTTCTTTCTGCTTACAGCAGACTGATTACATCATCTCTGTCAAAGAAAAGTTACTGACTGGAGCTCAAAGACTGCTTTCTAAATCATAAAAGAGCTTTTTGGAAAAATTACAGTTACTGCTTATGGAGACACGTTAGGAATGTATTTATACAGACTTGTAACGTTATTGAAAGGAAAGTTTGTGTCTCACTCTTACTTCATTCCATGAAGTAAATTATATACGAATAAAAATGGTGAATCGAAAGGCCTGAAAATATTCATACATTCACACATCTTCATATAATGGATGTGAACTGAGGTATAAAGGCACCACCACAAGAATAACATAGGAAGCCAACAGTAACGCAATCTCTTATCATGCACCCCACAAATAGTGCTTTATTATGATCATAATTAGCACTAAAGCTATGAGATTCCAGTGTGGTATACAATATGTCTTTTTGGTAAATGGAGGTAGATGAAATGTGGCCCAAGAAGGGTGTAAGCAGCCATTTTTTAGATTACAAGGCCACTGCATCTTACCTGTACTGGATATTTCTGGCTTCCATACATGACATATTGAGGCGCCAAGCTGTAAAGCATGTAGTTTGTGTGCAGGACAATCAACAAGAGGATCATACAGAGGAACAGAAGAGCTTGGGGTCTTGTTCGTCCTCTTCTAATCTTGTACAGCTATTAACATGAAACAAGACAATTAAAATAAAGACTATTTGTTGCCATGTATCCATTTAATTGTTTGCTACTATATTTTTCCTTCAGATAATTCTTCAAAAGGTCATTTTCTAAAACAGTGAGGATAACCGCACAATAGAATCTTGTTAGAATCTTGTTCTCTCTTAGAATATTGGAGACGTATTAGGAATATTGCTCTGTACATCATGTAAAACAAGACTGCTGCATACAGAAAAAGATGCTTTCTCTCATGAATAATAACGTGTGTGTGTGTTATATGGAAGGATGTTATTAATTATTAACAAAAACACAACAAAAAAATGCAAGGATATGCAGTTAGATTATTTTTTTTTGTAATCAACTCGAATATGAATCTATTTCAACCAAGCTAATGTTGATGGATAACAACTGCTGATGCTCTAAGCAACCAGAGTCCTTGCTGCTTGAAGAAACCGCCTAGAGACCATGAACCATATTGCAACAGACTTAATTTTCCTGCTTTCATATGCAGGGGCAGACAGGAGATGTAAAACAGAACACTGTATACCATTTAACTCCCCCTTGTATTTGTATATTCCGTCTAAATATTTTACTATTCCCTCTATCTTACGTACAAATACAATTTTTAATGTTTAAAAAGAAATATTGATTTTTAAACAATTTGGGAATTCATATTTTTACATTTTTTAACCTTTCATTTTGGAAATTTGCAAGAGGTTTGAAGAAGCAAAGGCAAAAGAATAAAGTAGTTGCAAAGGTTAACGAGATTTTAAAGGTTCAGTTTTTTTTTTTTTTCAAAACAACAAACGTGTCATACTTACCTGCTCTGTGCAATGGTTTTGCAGAGAGCAGCCTCGAGCCTCTTCTTCTCGGGTCCACTGTCGACACCCTGGCTCCTTGGTTATGATTAATCACGAGATTGTGTGGAAAGCGTTAACAGGTCCTGTATTCATGTCCTGGTGTTTTGTGTGTCCTATGGATCAATAAATACACACTATATTCATTTATCCTCCAGTGTGCGGCTGACCCTTCTTCCTCTCCCTTGACCAGTGCCTGCTTGCTATGGGGGCTCTGGTGCATGCTTGCTTTGAGCCCCGCTCTTTGCATGCATAAGATGCAGAGCTGCGGCTCCCACTCTCTCCTCATTGGATCACTGCCTGTGATTGACAGCAGTGTAAGCAAATGCCCCCCAGGAGAGTGCTGCGCTACCCCCTAGTGATCCAAAACAATACACTTATACACACCCTCCTGAGCATCAAACCCAATGTATAATAGAATAAATATGTGAAAAATATAGTCAATACTAAACAATAACAAAAAAAAAAAAAAAAAAAACACCTGTCTGAGACACTTAATCCAAATAAGTGAAAACACATAAAAAATAAACCAAAATCAAGTAGCAATAAACACCTGGCCAGCCTATAATAAACACCTGGCTGAGCTGAAGAATATAGTGGAAAAAACATAAAAAATAGTAAAATACATGAAACGAAAAAACAGAAATAAAAACACGATCTTCACGCATATTCACAAAAAGTGCGAATTTAAGAAAAAAAAAAAGTTATAAAAAATTCCTGAAGAAGCTATGATTGGCGATTGGTGGTTCGCTGTGTCCCTCGGACACAGCGGATCACCGATCAATGGAAAGAGCCGAAGATGTTAGCTCGGTCATGTGATCAGCTGTGTCCAATCACAGCTGATCGCATGTAAATAGAGAAATGCCGGTTATCGGCATTTCTCTCCTCACGAGCTGTCAAGCTGACAGCTCGTGAGGAGAGGAGAGCCAGTAATCGGCATTCCTCAAAGGGGACATGTACATTGATCATCAGGGCACTGATGATCAGTGTGCCCTGATGATCAGTGTAGCCCCAGCAATACCACCTGTCAGTGTCCATCAATGCCAGCTGTCAGTGCTCATCAATGCCACCTGCCAGTGCCACATCAATGCCACCTGTCCAGTGCCACATCAATGCCACCTGCAGTGCCACATCAATGCCACCTGCCAGTGCCACATCAATGCCACCTGTCAGTGCCCATCTGAGCTGCCTTTCAGTGTCATCTATGCAATACCAGTCACATCAATGCCACCTATCAGTGCCCATCTGAGCTGCCCATCAGTGTCACCTAGTAATGCCATACAGTACCTATGAGTGTGCACAGTGCTGCCTTTCAGTGCCCATCAGTGACTGCCTTTCAATGCCCATCAGTGATGCCACCCATCAGTGCCACCTACCAGTGCCTCCTCATCAGTGCCTATCAGTGCCCATCAATGCCACCTATCAGTGCCCATCACTGCAGCCTCATTAGCGCACATCAGTGAAAGAGAAAAAATCACTTATTTACAAAATTTTATAAGAAAAACTAAGAAAAAATTTTTTTTTTCAAAATTATCAGTTTTGGCTTGTTTAGCAAAAAATAAAAAACCCCGAGGTGATTAAATACCACCAAAAGAAAGCTCTGTCTACAAAAAAATAATAATAAAAATGTCATATGTGTACAGTGTTGCATGACCGCGCGCAATGGTCATTCAAAGTGTGACAGCGCTGAAAGCTGAAAATTGGCCTGGGCAGGAAGGGGGTATAAGTGCCCTGTAGGCAAGTGATTAAATGTTGGAAGAAAGACTGTTATATCACCTTTGGACTGCATTTTGCACTTTATTTACTGTTTTTGTTGTTTTTTTACACTTTATTCTTCATCTCAGCCGGGTGTTTATTGTAGGTGGGCCAGGTGTTTATTGCTACTTGATTTTGGTTTTATTTTTGGTATATGTTTCACTTATTTTGATTTAGTGGCTCAACCCGTTTTTTTTTTTTTTTTAAAATTTACTATTGACTTGCTTTGTTTCACAGATTTATTCTATAATATATTGGGTTTGATGCTCAGGAGGGTGTTTATGATTAGTGCATTTTTTGGGTCACTAGGAGGCAGCACATCACTATTCTTGGGGAGTTTTATTAATGTGGGAAAACATTTAGGCGCTAGCAGCAGCTTATCATTTATTAGTGGCAGCGCATGAGTATTATATCCTTATTAGTGTAAGCCAATGGCTTCCGCTGTTGTCTCAGCCAATGAGGAAAGAGAGACTCTTGTGCACATCACTGGATCAAGAGGGGGCTCAGGTGAGTATTTGGGGGGTTGTAGGGGGAACAGCACAAAGCAGGTCTTTTTTTTACCTTTACAAGCATTTTAAAGGTACTTTACCTTAATGAATTCTCTGCATTAAGTTAAAAAACCTTTAAATGTGCAGCCTCCCCCCCCAAATAGTTACCTGAGCCCGATGTCGATCCAGCACTGTGCAGAAGAGCAGCATCACTGCTCTCTCTCCTCACTGGCACAGACACCGCAGGGGGGAGCCATTGGCTCAAGCTGCTGTCAATCACAGCCCTTTAGAAGGGAGTGGGGGGGGGGGCAGGGCTGAACCACACAGTGTGTGTCTATGGTCAAAAAGAGGTGGCTCAGGTGTGAGCCTGTACGAGTGCCCTCACAGCAAGTGCCTTGCTATGGTGGCACTCCAGGTGCAGCCAGAAGCACAGGATCCCAGAAGAGAAGGATGGGGGCTGGACTGTGCAAAACCATTACACAGAGCAGGTAAATATATGTTTGCTATTTTACTTAAAAAAAAAAATATATATATATATATATATATATATATATAACTGAACCTTTACAATCACTTTAATAGATATGCAAAGGTATAATACATTCCTCTGTTATCATAACTTTATCTTAGTTGCCCCAAATTATATGTAAAAGAAAAAAAAAAAAAAAAAAAAAGGACAAAAACAAACTTTTTAACTTCATACTGAAAAAGACCATCAGTGAGTGGGTAGGCTCTAGTAAAAAGACACTGGGAGTGAATTCCTAAGGAAGGATACACTGTTAACGATACGTAATGAATGTTCACTGAGCTTGAGGAGTTGTTGAGCTGTGTTCACTTCAATCCTCTAGTAATGTGCAAGAAAAAAACAAACAAACAAAAAAAAAAACCAAAACTTTCCAGTAAATTCCATATCCTGGAGTGCCCAACAGGACACATATTCATTAGTCAAAGACCACGGATTATATGCTGCTACCGAATGATTGGACACTGGCAAAGCAGTGCAGGGAATGCCACCTCAGTGCACCCTCATATAATCCCACCTATTCCTTGGGATTCCAGTTCTGTAGCAAGAAATAAAAAGAGACAGGGTGAGGGTTCTCCCTTGGACCTGTAAATTCCAAGATATGGAATTTACAGGCAAGTCAAAATTCCCAATAGCTTTATCATACAATCCAGGACACAACCCCCCCCCCCTCCCAAAAAAAAAAACAAAAAAAACAAGTGAGAAACAATAGCAAACAACAACAAATAGGCCCAGGAGAAAATAGAGGTCAACTCTCAGATGACAGCTTGGAACACCTTGCAGACAAAGCTCGTATTAGTAGAGGCCTGGAGATTCACTATTTAAAACTTTGAGAATGTATGAACAGAAGACCAGGTGGAGGCTTTGCAGACCTACAAAACAGATGCTTGATGCTAAAAGGGTCCAAGAAACAACAGATGTTATGGAGTGGGAGGCAAATAGATGATAGGGAAGACGAGGTCCTTTCCTTGAGGGCATAAGCTGTGGAAATGAGCTAACTGAACCACCTAGCTATGGTGGAAGGGGAAGCAGGGTGAGCCTTTTTTGGTCCTTCAGGGAGTACAAAAAAAAGGGAAAAAGTTTTTTGGAAAGAAGATGTTACAGCTAGGCAAACCCTAACTGCCCTGACCACATCTGGACTAAGAGGTGAAAGTCTCTTTGGCATACATCGGGGCAGGACAGAGGGAAGGGAGGATACTCTACTCATTGAGGCAAAAGGAAAAGACCACCTTTGGAAGAAAGGAGGGTTTGGCTCTCAAGACCACTTTATGAACAATAAGAAAAGGTTTCTTTACAACAAAGGGCCACCAACAACCTCAGGCTAACACTACTTGGCAAGAGTCTGAGTATGTCTGTGTGAAAGGTTCTCCTGGACCAATATGGGACAAAAAGGATCACTGCAATCTGTTTCCCCTCTATCTTGCAGAGCAGTCAAGGGAGAAACTTCCTTAGAGGCAATGCATACACCAAGCTAAATAGAGTATGAAGAACCATCAGGGCATCTCCTGGAAAGCCAAGGGGGACCCTGGATCTGGTCAAAAACCTGTTCAGATTCTTGTTGAATCTGGAGGCCATGATGTTCCCATCTGGTATTCCTCATTTCTGATAGAGCATTAGAAGATCCTGAAAGGACCACTCTACTTTGTTCAGGCATTGGCGACTCAGGAAGTCTACCTGACAGTTTTCCACTCCTGGTATACAGATGGCTGAGAGTGCTGAAACGTCATACTGCACACAATCAGGAGAAAGACTTGCCTCCTTCAGAGCTGCCTGACTTTTGGTTCTACTTTGGTGGTTAATGTAGGCCACAGCCATGGCATTGTCCAACTGTACTCTTACTGGGTGATCATATAAGAGAGGGGTGCAGTGTAAGGGAGTCAATCTCATGGTCCTCCATTCAAGAATATTGAGGAACATTGACTGCTGTGGGAACAGTTAGGAAACTTTATATCCCAACGCAGCCAAACAGGCTGGTGTCTGTCGTTACCACATCCCAGAGAGAAAGGAGAAACGATTTCCTGGATTCTAGGGCTAAGTTGGAAATTCTCTGTGCCAAGGTGATTTTTGCCTGGCTATACAGAAGTAGTAGATGATCCAGAGAAGGGAACGGTTTGTCTTAGATCATGAGACTGTTGAGCTGTAAAAGACCTGAGTGGAACTGAAAGGGAACTGCCTTGAAGGAGGCAATCATGAGGCTCAGAACCCTGATGAAGAAATGAGTCAAGAAATGCCTGGTTGATCTGAGAGTCTGACAAATAGAACTAAGAGAAACAATCTTTTTCTGGGGAATGACATATTTGATCTGGTCCATGTCTAAAATCAATCCCAGATACTCTAGGCAATGGGAAAGCTGGAGGGCAGACTTTTTTTCAGCAGCAGGTCGTCTAGGCATCCCATGACTAGGATGCCACAAGATCTTACCAAGGCCAGGAGAGAAGCAAGAACCTTTGTGAAGACTTTTGGTGAAGGAAGCCTTAAAGGGAAAGCGAGAATTTAAACGTGTTGGTCTCAAACAGCAAAGCATAGAAAGCATTGGTGAGTGGGAAAGATGGGAGCGTGAAGATAAGCATCATGGATGTTCACTTATACCAGAAATTACCCTGATCTGAGAGAAGCAATGACAGATCTTGTGGACTCAAGGCAAAATTTGTGGACACACAAATCCTGTTCAAGAATTTTAAGTTTAAAATGGGGTGATGCCTCAGTACAGTTTTGAGACCGCAAATAAGTTTGTTTACTTTTTTTCTGCAGGATTATCACCTCCTTGTACCTGAAGTTAATTCAGGACAGCCTGTAAGTCTTTAAGGTGGCAATAACAGAGAGTCTATTCTGTAGCTCCTGGAAAGCACAGATTGGACCCAGAGGTTTGGGATGTCTCTGATCCTGACTGGCAAGAAGGCCAACAGATGTCCCTCCCCACTGAGGAGTGAAGGTACCCGTTCATTGTGAAGAGGGTTTCTGGGTATGCTTGGAGAGTTTTGGAGTCAAAGGCTTGCAACAATAGGATAGAATCGCCTTTTGACTTAAGAGGAGGATGCCTGGGAGAAGTGAAAGAACCCCTAGGCTTTCTCCCAGTACTTTCTCAACAAATGTATCAACCTATTCGCCACACAGGCATTCACCATTCAAAGGCATGTATAAAAGACACCTTTTACAAGCAGGCTCAGTGGGCCAAGCCTTAAACCACAAAATTCTGTGTATGTGCAAAGAAAGCAGTGTCATCCTAGAGAATGACATTCTCCAGGGCATGAGCAGAAAATAGCAATGACAAAGAATGAGCTGCAATTGTTCTAGAAGAACAGGGTCTTCTAACACAAAATCGAGTTCTCTGCTCATTTGTCCAGCCAAGTTAGCTACAGTAAGACAAAATGCACATAACCACAATGGCCGGTTGTAAGGCAGAACAATGAAAGCAAGGGATGCCTTCAAAAAGGTTTTAAAGT